GCTTTTCCGCTCACAGGAGCTTGTTCGGGGAGCAAGAACCCCTGCCCCCACCCCCCGGTGGGAATCTGTCGGAGGAAAGGCCGATCTCCCGCCCGCCGAGGGCTCTGCTGCTCCTCCAGAAGGTCCTTGGAGGGTGGTGTGCCCCCCCCCCACCGCCCGCCATTTCTCAGCATGGTGGACTCCCTCTGCCTGGGAAATCCAGCTTGACATCCCAGCCCCGTGAGTGCTGGGGTGTCTGCAGGTGTTTCGGAGACACCCTCACTGAAGCACGATGGCCTTTGGATAGCTCTGCCCTTGTCCCCTTTTGCTTTCGGGCTGCCAGTGCGGCCCCATGAAGGGTTTCCTGGAGTTGCACTGGGCCCTCTGGAAGCAAGCGGCTCAGTGGCGCAGGAGCACATCAGACTTTGCCTTGGACGGTCGGAGTCTCCTCAGTCCATCCGGGCCGGTGTTGTCCGCACAGGTGGCAGCCGCGGCCCCCCCTCCGGGGCCCGGGAAGCCGTTTGTCTAGTCCTAGCAGGAGACGCCGTTGCTCAGACCTGCAGCCTCTTGCGTGAAGGGCGGGGGCTGAGCTGCATCTGCACGTCTCGTGGACCTCTGCTTGGGCCCCCGTAAAAGAGCACCTTAAGGCAGACGCCAGCCGGGATTAAGATGCTGGCAGCTTTGAGCTAGACCCACATTGCTGATGACAGAGAGGGGTTGAAAGTGGAACCATGTGGGAAGAGCGAGGCACTGGCGAAGGCGTGTCTGGCTGATCGAGAAGGGCTCGATCTGCGCGTGCAGGTGGGTGAGCAGCCTTCTGAGGAAAACCTAGGCGTGCCGCTGGCCCCTGTTGCCACCACGGAAATGGTGCTGAGCTCATTTTCCCTGTGGGCAGCTGAGGAGCCTTGCTCTGATGAGGGGCGTGGGGATGTGGCGGAGCTCCTGGGGCCCGGCCTGAGAAGACGAGTCCAAGGGGACCGCCACTTCCGCACTTCCTCCGCCACCCTCGGCTTCTGTGTCGGCTCCCCAGTCGCTCTGCCCAGCAGTGTCCCCTCGCTCGTGCGGTTGGGCTGCCAGCGAAGGCGTGGGGGCGTCCCTCCGGACCCTCACGCACGGCCTTTCCCGTTTGTAGCGAAGGCGGGAGGCACCTCTCCTCCTCTTTCCTTTCCGCCCATCCCTGCCGGCAGTGCTCCGCGGGCCCTGCCCCTGCCCCCCCCCCCCCCCGGCACGGGTGGCAGCTGCACCGGACTGGGGGTGGGGCCGCGGCCTTTAACTCGCCGCCCGGGGCCAGCGGCCGAAGGGCGTCTTCACCGTGCGGGGCCTGGGCTGGCCATAGACGCTGTCGGGTGGGCCTCAGTAGTCGGGTGGTTGCGGGCTTTTATTGTTTTAACTGTATTTTAATCTTGATTTTACTTTGTATATTTTAATGGATTCACACCTGGCTGCTTCCGTGGGGTTGCCTGGGGAGCGCGTGGGTGCCGCCGTTGGGGTGGTCATGGGCAGTGGTCGTTATGGCGTTGGGGGTTTAACGTGTTGGTATAGAAGGAGGGACAGATGGTTGACACCTGTTCCTCGTTCTGGTTTTCCCCCAGCCGGAAGGTTCCGGGTATGCTTATCAACCGCCCCGCGGGCCTGACGGTGCTGTTACTTAATGCCAGGTCGGTCCATAATAAAACATCCTCATCCACGACCTAATTGTGGATGAGGGGGCCGACCTGGCTTGCATCATAGAGACCTGGGTGGGGGGATGTGTCCCTCTCTCAACTGTGCCCGCCGGGGTATCTGGTCCAGCACCGACCATGCCCGGAGGGGAGGGGAGGGAAGGGGAGGGGGGGTCGCTTTAGTTCATCGGGCTTCATTATTCCTTGCAGGGCTTCCTGTTCTCTCGAGACCTAGAGTGCCTCTACCTGGCACTGGGCGACCAAGACAGATTGGGGATTCTGCTGGTGTACCTTGCACCCTTCTGCCCATCAGACTCCCTGCCTGGTGTTAAAGATTCCCAGGATGCTGATTCTGGGGGACTTCAATCTCCATGCCGAGACTGTTCTGACCAGGGCGGCTCAGTACTTCATGGCCTCCATGACGGCCATGGGGCTGTCTCAACATGTCATTGGCCTGACCCATGAACGTGGACCCACACTGGACCTGGTTTTCTCGACGGGGCAGGAAGAGGGTGATCTGAGGGTGAGCAATTTACGTTTGACTCCCCTGTCAGACCACTTCCTCGTGAGATTCGAGCTCGATGGCGGCCCTTCCCTCTGTAAGGGTGCAAACCCTTTTGTCTTGGTCCACCCTCGGAGCTGGATGGATCTGGATGGATTCCTGAAAGCTCTGGGGGAGTTTCCGGTTGATAAAGCTGGCACTCCTGTTGATGCTCTGGTGAACTATGGAATTGGGAAATGGCCAGAGTTATTGACACGATTGCTGCTAAGCGTCCTCTCCTGCCTGGCAGAGCCTGTTCATCCCCTTGGTATACACCTGAATTATGGTCGATGAAGCGGGTTGGGAGATGGCTGGAGCGTAGGTGGAGGAAATCTCAGGATGCATCTGACCGAACACACTTAAGAGCTCTTTATTTATTTATTTAAAATATTTTTATGCCGCCCCCATCACAACAAAGCCTCGGGGCGGCTCACAACATTATCAAGCTTATGCTGTGGCGGTGAGGACAGCAAAGAAGAAATTCTTCTCCACTTCCATTGCCTCCTCACAGTGCCGTCCAGCGGAGCTTTTTCGGGTGGTACAGGGGCTGGTACATCCAGGCCCTAAGAAAGATCCTGTACCACTCTCGATAACCCGCTGTGACAACTTTGCCCAGCACTTCAAGGAGAACATCTCTCAGATTCAGCACAAGCTGGACTCCACCAGTGACTCAGATTCCGTAGGGGAGGTGCCAATGTTACCGTCTGGTCACATATTGTTGGATGAGTTTCAGTTATTGCAGCCTGATGATGTGGACAAGGTGCTTGGACAAGTACGTCCCACCACCTGTTTACTTGACCCTTGCCCATCGTGGCTACTGTCAAACACGGGATTGGTGCCTAGATCCTGGAGGTCATCAACACCTCTCTAAAGGAGGCAATGGTTAGGCTTGGTCCTAAAGAAGGCGTCCCTGGATCCAGAGATGGCCGCCAATTATAGACCAATGGCCAACATCCCATTCTTGGGCAAGGTGTTGGAACAGGTGGTGGCGGGACAACTCCAAGCTCTCTTGGATGAGACTGATTATCTGGACCCATTTCAATCCGGCTTCAGACCCGGGTATGGTACTGAATCTGCCTTGGTCGCCCTGTATGATGACCTGTGCAGGGAGAGAGACGGGGGAGTGCGTCCCTGTTGGTCCTCCCGGACCTCTCAGCGGCTTTCGATACCATCAACCATGGTATTCTTCTGGATAGGCTGGCGGGACTGGGAGTAGGAGGCACTGCTTGGCAGTGGTTCCGCTCCTACCTTGACGGCCGATTCCAGAAGGTGGTGTTGGGGGACTTTACCTCTGCACCATGGCAGCTATGCCATGGAGCACCACAGGGGTCTATTTTGTCCCCCTTGCTATTCAACATCTACATGAAACCGCTGGGAGAGGTCATCAGGAGGTGTGGGCTGCGGAACCATCAGTACGCTGATGATACCCAGCTCTACCTCTCATTTTCCACCAATCCAGGCGAGGCAGTGGCTGTACTGAACCGGTGCCTGGCCGAGGTAATGGGCTGGATGAGGACCAATAAACTGAAGCTCAGTCCAGACAAGATGGAGGTCCTGTTGGTGGGTGGCTTGGGCTCTGGGGTAGGTGACTTGGACCTTGTCCTGAATGGGGTTGCACTCACTCTAAAGGACAGGGTCCGCAGCTTGGGAGTGCTGCTCGACCCAGAGCTGTCCCTGGAAGCTCAAGTGACTGCGGTGGCGAGGAGCGCTTTCCTTCAGCTTCGGCTAATCCATCAGCTGTGTCCCTACCTGGAGGACGACTGCCTAGCGACAGTGACGCATGCATTGGTTACTTCCCGATTGGATTACTGTAACGTGCTCTACGTGGAGCTGCCCTTGAAGACAGTCCGGATACTTCAGATGATGCAAAACAGAGCAGCCAGGTTGCTGACAGGGACTGGGCATTACTCTCACATAACCCCAGTCCTCTACCAGCTTCACTGCTCCCCATCAAAGTCCGGGCTCAATTCAAGGGGCTAGTTATCACCTACAAAGCCCTTAATGGCTTGGGACCTGGATAGTTGAAGGAACGCCTGCTCCCATATTTGCCCTCCTGCCCCTTGAGATCGGCAGCAGAGGCCCTCCTCCGGGAGCCCTCCGTGAGAGACATCAGGAAGCAGAGTACCCGGAGGAGGGCCTTCTCTGCGGTGGCGCCCCACGTATGGAATGCGCTCCCCAGAGAGGTCCACCTGGCGCCGTCGTTACTTGTTTTTCAGCGCCAGGCTAAGACCTTTTTATTCAAACAATATTTTAACAACGTATAATATTTATAGGTTTTAATTGTGCAGCCAGGATGTTTCCGGGTTTTATTTGTATTTGTATTATATTTATTTATTTGTGTGAGCCGACGGCATACAAAAACTTTAAACAAACAAACAAACAAACTCAAATCCATATTGCTGTGCATTGTCAGTCAAGACGATTCTGGAAATGACTCCGCCTCAGTGGTTCTGCATGGACCGTGGGGTGGGTGCGATTGTCTGGCCCTGGCTGCATGGTGCACACCAAATTGGTCTTCCGAGGGTGCGGCCCTGTGCGTGGTCTGATCGCGTCCAGCGTGCCCCGGCCGGCCAGCCTGCACGTGGGCCTGCCCTTGAGGGGAGGCGTGGAGGGGTCCCAGGTGACCCGGCCCGAGTGCGCCCTCCGTCCCGTTCTCTCCTTTGCCTTGCATCACCCTGGTGTCCCTCCCTGCGATCTCACTCCGGGTCCCTCCCTTCGTGTGTGAGGAAGCCTGGAAGTGGCCAGAGCCACCCCTGTGCGTGTTGTAAGCCTGCAGAAGTGGGCGGGCAGAGACTGAACTGAGCTAATTTCCCTTTCAGTTAGTGAAGCTGTGCATTGCTATGATTGACACGGGGAAGGCCTTCTGTGTGGCCAACAAGCAGTTCATGAATGGCATCCGGGACCTTGCCCAGTATTCCAGCAGGGATGCTCTGGTGGAGGTAAGTGCCCGACAGCAAAGGAGGTCTGGGCTGCAGAAAGGGCAGTGGCTGGAGGCTTCCCATCGGCTCGTGCGTGTGGCTGCCCCCTGCAGAGCCGGACCCGTTGGCTCTCGGGCTGCAGCGATGGGTGCAGAGGGGGCCTCTGAGCAGGCAGCTGGCAGTCGGGCTGCACCCTTCTGAAGACAGGAGGCAGCCTGAGGACTGCCGGTAGCCAGCTTCTGCGTGGTTCCTGGTGTCCTTGGCAGGCAGCTTTCTGGGCTTTTCTCGGAGTCCTTTTTGCTTCAGTGCAGAAGCGTCACAAGCGCATCGTTGAGCTTTCTCTGCCCCTCCATAAAATCTTAGAGTAGTAGAGTGGGAAGGAGCCAGTAAGGCCATCAGGTCCAATCCTTGGCTGAGCCCGGGACTCCAAGGTAAACATTCTTGGTTCTTCCACTTTCAACGTTAAATCGTTAACATTTCTGTGATTTATGCTGACCCTTTGGGAAAGGCCAGCGAAGAGGGATTTTGTCCCCCAAGCAAACTCAGGGCCACTTTGGCCGCAGCAGGAGGCGGTGGCGGCAGCGGCGGCAGTCTCCATTCTGGGCCATGATGCCTGAGGCTGGCCCCTGACAGGCCCACGAAAGGAACATGGTGGCCCCGTGGCTTTTTCTTCCCCTCCCTCTCTTTCTCTCCTTACAGAACAGCTTGACAAAATTCTCCAACAGCCTTCAAGAGATGATCAATTATCACACCGTAAGTGTTAGACTTCGCACAGCCAATGGGCCTGCCTGCCTTAGGGGTCGGGAAGAAGACGCGGGGTGCCTGCGTGTCTCCCCACTGATAGTTGTAGGAATTCGAAGGGGCTCAGCAGTGAACGGCTTGCCGTGTGCACCCATGTCCCTTTAGGCCCCCATGGAATGTGTGTGGCACAGTTGCGCCAGGCTTCCTGGAACGTGGCTCCTGCCGCTTTGGCCGTCCACCTGGAAAGCCTGCGTTGCACCCGGACTCTGTAGCCAAAATCCGAGGGTTGCCTTATGTTGCAGCCCTCCTCATGGCTTAGCTTGGAGGGCGATCCTATGTGTCGGCACAGAAGGAATACTTCCTGCAGCGGGATTGACTCCCTGTGTATAAGATTGTGGCCTGTTAGAGGGAACACTCTGGGACTGCTGGTAGCGCAGCTGCTACCTTGCAGGCTGCGTGGCAGATTCTGTTGCTCACAGAAGAATCACTCAGGCTGGGTTTATGCTGTGCTGGCCCAGGAAGGGGCCCCCTCTTCCCCTGCTGGTTTTCCCGCTACTCCCCTGGAAAAAGACAGCTGTGCATCTGGAGCTCCGCAACTTGGCTTGCCGTGCCAGCTCGTCCTGTGAGCTGGAGGGAGGCCTTAGGCACCTCTGCAGTGCGGGCGGTCGCGTTGGGCCTGAGCGGCAAAGATCCGGCCTGGTTCTCTGGCCTTGGGAGGTGTTAGACCTCATTCGGCATGGGCAGAAACCCTGTCCTAGAGTTACCTCTTGTCGCTTGCCAAAGACCCTGGGAAAGATGGCCAAAGCACTAAACATGCAGCTGTGTTTGGCTTGGGATCCCACCGCATCAGACCCATTAGTGAACTTCTGCTTGGTGTTAATGATTAGCCCAACAGACTCGTGCCTCACTCTGTGCTTAGTTAACTGGCTTAAGCTGGCGCAGGTTGTGAGATGCTGCCTGACCCTGGTGGAAAGCCTCAGGTGTTACGACTCGTGGCTGGCTAATGAGGACGGGAAACTCCTAAGTCCCAGTGCAACGCCAGCACCGCGATGGGGAGCGGCATATAGTAGAGGTTTGGGCTTGCTGACGAGGTAAACAGGCGGTTTCCCACTGCTCAGTCCCTGCCCCTCTGCAGCAGCCCGTCCCTTTCCCGTGAGTAGTCTGTAAAGCCTAGTCTTTCCCAGTGGGTGGGGTTGTTCGGACACCAAACATCCGCAAGGGGTTTCGCTTGCCATCCATTCCAGCTGATCGGAGCCTCTTGCTTGCTGAATCCTTTGAAACGCCAGCTTTTCAGGTTGGTGTGCTTGTCTTTTCAATAAAGCCCTTAGACGTGAATCTGGACCCAGCTTAGCGATCTCTTGGGGCCACGCAAGCCTGCAGCCTGAAACTGGGCCAGAATAGCAGCGGTTGTGAGGTGGAAGTCAATATGGTCAACGGTGTGATGTGGTTGCGAAAAGGGGCAAATGCTATATTGAGCTGCATTAATAGAAGAAGAACTTCCAGATCATGTGAGGTACTGGTTCCCCTCTATTTGGTACTAGCCATGCCCCATCTGAAGTACTGTGTCCAGTTCTGGGTGCCACACTTTAAGAAAGAGGCAGGAAAACTGGAAAAGTTCAGAGAAGGGCAACAAAGATGATCAGTGGCCTGGAAACAGACTTCGGTGAAGAGAGATCGAAAGAACTCGGCATGTTTAGCCTTGAGAAGAGAAGACTGAGGGGAGATGTGATAGCAACTTTCAAATACTTGAAAGGCTGCCATACAGAAGATGGCCAGGATCTCTTCTCAGTCATCCCAGAGCGCAGGGGATGGACTAACGGGCTCAAGTTACAGGAAGCCAGTCTCAGCTAGACAGCAGGGAAAATGTCCCGACTGTTAGAGCAGGACGGCAGTGAAACCAGTGGCCTAGGAAGGCTGTGGGCTCTCCCACACCGGCGGCGTCCAGGATGCCGCTGGCGAGCCCTCTGTCAGCAGTGCTTTACCTTGCGGTCCTGCATTGAACAAGAAGTGGGACTTGATGGCCCACTGGTCATTCCATCTCTTCGGTGCTGTTTTGGGGCACGTTAATAAAAGTATTACTTCCAAATCATGAGAAGCAGTAGTTTCCCTCTACTCCTCACTAGCCCAGCCTCATCTGGAATACTGTGTCCAGTTCTGGGCACTAAGATTTAAGAAAAATACAGAAAAGTTCGAAAGAGACCAGAGGAGGGCAAGAAAAATGATCCCGAGTTTGGAAACACTGCCCTGTGAGGAGGGACTGAGAGAACTGGGCTTGTTCAGCCTTGAGAAGAGGAGGCTGAGGGGGGACATGAGATCCCTCTAGAAGGACCTCAAGGTGAAATCGGGCAAGAAATCCATATTGGCTTCTTGGAGTTTTTAGACTGCATGCTTTTATAATCTGCTCCAGAATTTTTCCAAGAACTGATGTCAGTCAAGACTTACTGGTCTGGACTTCTCAGTTCTTCTTTTTGCTTTCTTGAAGATGGGGGCAGCATCAGCGCTTCTCCGGCCATCTGGTACTTCACCGTCCTCTATGATTTCTCAAAGTTAATAGAGTGGTTTTGAGAATTCTTTCACCAGCTCCTTTCTGACTAGGATGGAGTTCATGGATCCTGGAGATTTGAACTCGTTCAACCCAATTGGATGATCCTTGGCCAGTTTGCTTATTGATCTTGAGCTGCCACCCTGCCCCATCGGGTTGTACTTTCCCTTTCTCAAGAAAGTTATAGAACTTCCTTTGGGAGAAGAATGTGTGTATCTCGCGTGTGTTTTCCCTCAACCTCCCTGGAACTCCTTAGAGGAATATAAATATAGATGGGGCAGGTAAGACTGTGCAGTGCCGGCGCTGGCATGTTGCAGGCCTCTCGGTCCGTCCAGTGCAGTGCGGCTCCAGCCCCGTCTGCACAGTTCAGCTTCTTTCTTACTGCTTGGTGAACGTTTGTCGTAAATGTAAAAGCCCCGGGATTCCTTCTCTGCATTTACACCTGACTTTTCAGTAATTTGCCTGAATCAGACATTTTCCCCTTTCAGATCCTGTTTGACCAAACCCAAAGATCAATTAAAGCACAACTTCAGATGTTTGTTAAAGAGTAAGTTAATTTTCATTTTTGCAAACATATATGCCTGATGGAGCCTGACCTAAGGTGAACTGCAACCCCCCTGAAACTGGCATATCAAAAACTGTGCAGTGGCCTTGGAAAGATTTGCATTGCTTCCCCACATTTCTGAAAACTCACATGTGCCCCACGAGGACCGAAGGTGATGCGGCCAGTCTTGGCCGAGAAAGGCAGGCAACTCTGTGGGGCCGCCTCCGAGGTTGCAGCAAGAGAAGCGCTGCTTCCCCGAGGGTTGGTGGTCAGTTGGAGCAAGGCAGAGCCCTTGGCTTAGCTCGGGGCCCACATGTGCTTAAGAGCCCCTTCTGACAAGGCAGGTGCATTTTGAGGACTAAATTTAGGATTGCCAAGTTTCCAGGAAACGAATTTTGTGGTGATGACCTTTATCTAGAAGACAGGTAAAGGTGACTTTGAGCGATGGGGTTACAATATGGAACATTTGGGTCTTTGAAATTTCGGTCTCAGAGGGAGAGCACCTGCTCCCTGCACCCGTGAGCAGCAGAGCAAGAAGGGTGCTGGGAGGAGGCCTCCCAGGCCCTTGCCTGCGTCTCCAGCGGAAACCCTCTGTTCCAAGCAGGGTGGATATCAGGTTTGCAGCACACGTGCCCAGGCCGCCCTCTGGGTGGCCCAGAGTCCCCAGCGAGCTCCATGACTGAGAGGGATGAGTGCCGGCATCTCCCGGGTCCCCGTCCAGCAGGGCAGCCCCCGCAGCACACCAGCTGTCCTGCTGTCACCCACTGCAGCAGCACCGACGGCCAGGGCCATGTTGGGGCAGGCTTCCCTTTGAGGCCCCTCGAGTGCAGTGCTCTTTGTCAAGGGAGCCTGCTGGAATCCGGCGGTTGATGCCTTTGTGCTCTAGGGATATCAGAAAGTTCAAGGATGCGAAGAAGCAGTTTGAGAAGGTCAGCGAGGAGAAGGAAAATGCCCTTGCCAAGAACGCCCAGGTTCCCAGGACCAAGCAGCACGAAGTGGAGGAGGCTGCCAACATCTTGACCGCCACTCGGAAGTGCTTCCGGCACATCGCTCTGGACTACGTTCTCCAGGTAGATTTTGCTCAAAGTCTTGGGAGACTGGAAACGGAGGTTTGCTGGCAGGGGAGGGGCCACCTTGCATTTACCTGGCCTGAGCTGGATTGCGGGAGACCCACGGAGGGGAGGCGTCCTTGAGGGCCCTCAGCGAGTGACAAAGCTGCAGAGCGGCGGTGTCTGGACCGGGTTTGGTCCTGGTCCTGGTGGACAGGCTGGCTTGTCCTGGCAGGAGGTGCAGAGGCAATAAAAGCTCTTGCAGGAGGGTCAAGACGAGAGATGGGGCACAAGTCATGCTTCCACAGAGAGTTCTGAGCATGGGAATGCACAGGCGTGGGCCTCAGCGCCTCCCTGCCGGGGTCTTCTCTGGCGACTTGGCCTTAGTAAGTCTTCCTAGCCCGCGTGTGCCCCACTTGGGAAGGGGAGAGGAGCCTTCCAGGAGCTGCCTGCAGCTTCCAGCTGTGCTTCTGCATCACAGGAGCTGGCTCTGCCAGTGCAGGCACAGCGCTGGGGCTGCCTCCCCTTCCCCTCTGTTTCTTCAGCATCTCCAGATGAAGCTGTAACCTCCAGACTTCTTCGGAGAGCCATAATTCCTTGTGTAGGCTTTTGGAAAGGAGTCACCCCTTCCCCCAGCTGGTTTCTGTGGGCTCTCCTCTGGGTGCCCTGATTTTCTTGACTTCTGCTGTCGGTATCCGGAAAGAGCAGTTTGGTCCCAGTGAGGGAACCTCCAAGGCAGTGTTGCTGCTTCATTCCAGAGATACTCTGAAAAATTGGTGGTTGCTTCAGCAGCTTAGCGTTGACATGTGCAGGGAGAGATTTCTGGACTGTGTTAGGCAGTCGCGGGAAGGGCTTCAGAAGCCGGACCTTGGAAAAGCTGATCGCCTTGAAAGGAGCACGTGTGAGATCCTGAGCATCGTGAGGTGGGGGTTTGACTGTAGAGGGATCGGTGGGCTGGGGACAGGTTGAGCCTGCCCCCTTTGAGGCTGATGAACCTGACCTCGTCGGCTGGAACACTGGGCACTCCGTGGTCGTAGCTACAAACTGGTCCTTGGAAAGAAACTGAGTCGGGGTTCGCCCTGTCGGCCTGCTGCCAGTCACTCCGGCCACAGGTGGGAGTTCCCCTGCCCATTTTCCAGCCTCACTGGCCCTGGGGCCTCCCTCTGTCCTCCTTTGCCACAGTCTTTTGGCAGCACAGTGAAGCCAAGCTGTTGTTTCCCCTAGATTAATGTGCTTCAGTCGAAGAGGAGATCAGAAATCCTAAAATCGGTAAGTTTCACATGTGGAACTGGGAAGCTGCTGGCTTGGAACCGATCTGCAGCTCTGACATGGAGCGCGGAGGCTTAAACACACGAGAAGAAAATAAGCGATGCTACCGCAGTGGGGAGTCCTGCTCTGCTTTGTCCCATGCGTACAGAATGCTGGACAAGACGGACCTTTTGTCTGACCCAGCCCGGCTTTTCTGATGTTCTTAGGGGTGGGGTGGCAAGCTCAGCCCGGGAAGCCCATGGGCCTGCCTGGCCTGGTAGCCATCGACGGCCTTCCCCCTCACGGGTGTGTGTAATCCCGCCTTCACATCACCCAAGTAGATAGCCATTTCTACATCTTGCGGTAGCTGGTCCCAAACCGATCGGCCCCGGGCTTCATAGCGTGGCCCCGTTGAGCTCTGCTGATGGAGAGAGAAACGTCCCTGTTGAACTCCCCGATTCCACAGGCAGCAGCTCAACGCCCGCAGAGCCGAACTTTTGCTTCACGTCGCAGTTGCCGGGGAAGCTCAGCGAAAGAGCTGAGTGGTGGGGGAGGCCGGGCTGAAGGCAGAACGCGCAGCGGCCTCGGTGCCGGCTGCCTGGGGCATCCATGGCAGGGCCGGCACCGGCTGCGGTGCTGCGCTCTTGCAGCTGCCCTGCCCCCTGGCCCAGATGCGTCTCTTGCATGACGCGCTTTGGTTTGGGAGGTGTGCCTGGTGCCCTCCCAGCACGGGAGCACAGCTGGAATGCAGAGCGAAGGCCCCGTCTGGAAGCCGGCAAAAGGGGGGCGTTCGGTGCAGCCTGCTTTGGCACGTGCAGCAGGTCCAAGAGGAACCCGAGCGCGTGAGGCACACGCTGATGTGGCGGTTGCTGGAAGCCTCTCGCATCTGCCTTCCTCCATGCTAGATGCTGTCCTTCATGTACGCCCACCTGGCATTCTTCCACCAAGGCTACGACCTTTTTAGCGAACTTGGACCCTACATGAACAACCTCGGTGCCCAGGTGATCAGTCGGTGTGGGCTTGGTGAGCCAGTTCTGGGGAGAAAGGAAAAGGCAGGCCTGAGGAGGGGGGGCGAAGGCCCCGTCTTCCGGGATGCCTCCTGCATGATTGAGGGTGATGTGGGGCGTCGCTTGCATTTGTTCCGTGTCCCTTCGTCTTCTTGAGGCCACGTTTCCTTTCTCGGGTATTGTGAGCTGCAGCGCACCCCACAGCAGGACACGGAGGCGAGGCGCACCGCTGCAGCCTTCTCCCTTTGGCAGTGTCGGTTGATGCTGCGTGCAGGAGGAGCGCCTGGTCTCGGCGGGAAGCGCCTGGCACCCCCTTTGGGGGTGTGCACGGTGTTTGGCCTCCACCTGCAGAGGGAGCTGCTCCCCAGCTCAGGCTGCTGCTGTGCGAAAGGCTGCCCAGAAGGCGGCTGGAGCGGCTCAGGCAGCACGAGTCCTCCGTGCACCGGAGCAGCCGTGTGTCCCGGGCACCCTGGGCCCTCTTAGAAGCCAGCTCCCCGGGCAGAGGCAGAAGGCCTCTCACCAGGCCGAGATGCCGGCAGTGGTGGGGTGGGATGTCTGTGACGGCAGCGCCCTGGGCAGAACGACCCCGGTGGGGCGGGGGGGGCAGTGCAGCCACCAAGTCCCCGTGAGTCTCAGGGTGCATTTCGGTCTCTTCCAGCTGGACCAGATGGCTGCAGATGCTGCGAAGGAGAAGCGGGAGATGGAGCAAAAGCACTCCACCATTCAGCAGAAGGTACTGGGAGGGACGCCGGAGGGAAGCTTTGCTCCCTGCCGCGCTTCCACTCCTGCCTGCTTGCGGCTGCAGCGGGTGGTCGGACGGCGTCCTCGCAGTGGTCGGTGGAAGAGAATTCCCGGGCCACAGGGACAGGCTCCTCTGCGCGGGGCTGCCCCCCTCGTTTCCATGTCACGCACGGCCTTCCCCCCGGCGTGGCATGGCTCGCGGCAGGGGCTTGGCTGGCACAGATGGAGAGTGGGACCCTGCGGCTCTCGGGGCCCTGTGGGTTGCCGCGCCCCTTAGCAGTCCGGGGATGCCACGTGGGCGGCCTGAAGCCGCGAAGGAAGGCGCTGCTTTGTCAGTTGTGCACACATGCCTGCCTTGGAGTGCAGGCGTTGGCCATGTTGGTCACATTCGGGTCCGACTCTGCCTTTCAGAGTTACAGGGCGGATCTTGATCTCGGTAGGCAGGCTCCGGGTGGGGCACTTGCGGGGAACCTGAAGCGCCTCCCTCGCCAGAGTGCGGCAAGCACCTGTGCCGGAGTCTGTCCCGAGGCGCCTCCGTTTCCCGAGCGGTGCCAAGTGAGTGGCAGCGGAAGCACGGTCTCGCTGGGGCCGCTTCACGGTGGGGGGGAGCCGGGAAGCAGCCCCCGTCCCGGTCATCTTTCCTGCCACTGAGTCGAAGAGATTTCCACGGGGCTCTGCGGCTTATTTATGCCCAAGCCACACGTGGAGAGATCCTTGCTCAGGGGAGCGGTCCGGAACAAGGTTCGACAGACCCTCTGTCACTTGCACTAAGCCCGGAAACTGCTTTTCTGCCAAACGGTTTGGACAGAACCTTTTCCAGCAAAAAGCAGGAAAAGTTGCTTGACCAGAATCACAGAGGCCAGGCCTGCGCCTCCCGCTTTCTGCACGCTGTCTTTGGTCCAGCTCATCAGACCCCAGTTCTCCTTGGCTCCCGTGGGTCTCCCATCCTTTGCAAGACAGAGGAGGCATTAGGCCGGAGATGCAGAGAACCCATCGCTAGGCGCGGCTCCGCTGCTCCTGCCAGGAGTTGCAGCATCCCCTTCTGTCCCTGCCCTGCGGGGCTGGCAGACAGACTGCTTGGCCCTTCAGTGCCCCCCAGGGCGGACTTGCAGGTGCATGAGGGGAGGACTCGGAGGAAGCGGGGGTGGCGGCTCCACTCACGGAGGGGCCTCTTAGGTGCTTCTTTACTCTGATTTAAAATACTTCTTGTTTTCTTTCGGGGCAGAAGTCCCCTGGAGGCAGCGTGCAGCAATAAAGCACATGAAACCAGGGCGATATTAAGAGCAATGAGGCCGCACTGAGGCAGGGAGAGCACAGTAAAAGCACCAGGGAAACTGCGGCATCGGCACTTGCGGCAGCAGAGGGCCAGCGCAAAAGGACACGTGTGCACGAGCTTCCTGGACGCTTGCTTGCTGGGCCGCTGGGGGCAGCGTATTCTGGAGTCAGGGGCCTCTGCCGAAGCCGCCCCCATTGCTCTCAGCAGATGGGCAAGGGACAGGTCACCCCTCCTGCTGGCCTTCAGGTGTGCGCAGTCTGTGCAGGGGAAGGTAGACCTCCAGCATCGCGTAGCTTTAGAGACCACCTTTAAAGCTCAAGATTTGCCCTCAGAGCTGGGCTCCAAAACCAGCAGCTGGCGCAGAGCAAGCTTTGCACGGTTGAAACACTGGGCTCCCACCGGCCTTCCAAGGCAGCCCCACCTGCAGCGCGTTCCAGCAGTCCGCCCTGGGCATCACTAGTGTGCGGCAAGTGCCTTGTCCCAGGAGGGGCTGCCTGAGCACTCGGGCACTGCAGGCAGCGGCCAGGCGGCCCCCCAGTGGCATGGGGCCGGTTAACTGAAGGACTGCCTTGCCCCGTATGCGCCTCCTCGGACCCTGAGGCGACCTCTGGGGGTCCTTCTCCAGGATCCCCTTCCGAAGGAGTGAGGTGCTGGCTCCCAGGAGGGGGTCTTTTCGACTGCGGCACCTCAGTTTCGGAATGAGCTCCCCAAGGTGCCGGGGCCGTATGCCCTTCTGTGCCAGTGGGAGGCGCTCTTCGTCTCCCGGCATTTTGGCAGCTGCGTTGCATTTTATTCGGTACTGTTTCAGTTGCCATTGCTATTGTTTTACGTTGACGTTGGCTTGTGTGCATGTGTGTTTTGGTTTTGTGAACTGTTGTTACCCTCCCAGAGAGCCTCCTGGCTCTGGGAAGGAGGGATCCTCCTTCAAACTGTGCCTCCCAAGCCCAGTTGAAATAAACGCTCCGGGCTGGTGCCACGGTTGGTGGTATCAAAGGCAGCTGACACCACCGAGGGGTCTTCCGTGGGGCTCTCCAGCTGGGCCATGGGTCCATGTGGAACCCCCAGGGGTGTGGCATCCAATCACCTCAGTGCCTGGGCGCATGAATAAAGGAAAGGCGCTGTCTTGGGATCCAGCTCCAAGGGCGTCGAGGGCTTCATACGCTGGGATCGTAAGCCTCCCAGAAAGGCCTCTGCAGCTGAGGCGGCCAGTAAGTGCACACACGAAATAAATAAGTAGTAGTGCAACCCTAAGCTTGGCCCAGTAGCGAACAGGCAGAGAGTGGGCCTCCTCTGGCCACGGCAGAGCGGCTGCACTCTGCACACGCCCCCTGAAGCTCATTGCAATCTTCCAGGCTTGAGCTTGGGAGAATGGAGAGGACCGAAGTGTTGAAGGCCCTTGCGCACCTTGTGTGTCTGGGGGAAACATCCTTGCGCACGGACAGATGCTGCCTCCACATACAGGGCCGTCCTCTGGCCAGACTTCACCAGACGCTTCCCCCATGGCCGGCAGGTTTCCTGGGCTCCGGCCTGCCGCGGTGTCCGCTGTGGAGCCGTGCAGCGCAGAGAGCCCGGGCGAAAGAGATGTGCCTCACGCCCCGCTCCATGCCACCTGCTCTGGGTCCCTGCCTCTGCACCGAGTTGCTGCCACTGGCTGCTCTCTGGCACTGCACCGAAATAGGCTGCTGTTCCGCTTTTGCTAGGACTTCTCCAGCGATGACACGAAGCTGGAGTACAACGTCGATGCAGCCAATGGGATCGTCATGGAAGGCTACCTCTTCAAGCGAGCCAGCAATGCCTTCAAGACCTGGAACAGGTAATGCTGCCACCTGCGGGGCCGGGCTTCGGTGCGCGGTCACGTCTTCCGGACGGCTGCCTTCACCCGTTTGAGTGGCTGGGCTAAGCCTCTGGGACCCGCCCCCCCCCCCGCTCCCCTTGCCCCTCATGCCCCAGGCATGGGCCTTTTCAGCGCAGAACGGTAGAGGCAAGGTCAGGGCCAGCATGTTCGGTGCGTTGCGTGTCTCTCTCTCTCTGCGGAGATGTTAACATGAGCATTTACACTCCTCACGCACCGAGTTTCCTTCCTTTCTGCACTGCCTGTGAACTTGGCTACCAACAAGTTGAATAGGGAGCGCCTTCTCCGGCGTGTCTGCATGCACGTGGAGGTTCCCAGGGAAAGCTGGCATAACGCAGCGCATCCGAAGGGAGCAGCCCGGTCTGGGGGCCGTGACGTTCCAGTTCCTTCATTGGCTCATCTGCCACGCCCCAGTGGATCGTTGGCCACATGGGTGCGTGGCTGAGAAGGAGGCTTGAGACTCTGAGTGAATGCTTGAAAGCCCTCTCTTCGGGCCGTGTCCCTGTTGCCGGTTGCCGCATTTCATTGCCCTTCGATCCTCGGCTCAGGAGTAATGGGGGCGGCTGGCCAGGGACTCTGCCTTGCCCAAGGCCTGCGTGGCTGGCGTTAGAAGCTGTTGCTTCTCACAATACCCAGGAGCATATTCTGGGAGGGCTCTTGCCTCTTTAGTAGGTCCTAACCTTCCTGGACCAACATGAAGAAATAGGCTTCTCCTCGACACGCTGCCTGCCGCACGACGTGGGCTGGGGCATTTGCTCGCTAGGTCCGGGGTGGCTCGCCCGCTCACCAGGGAACGCCTGGTACAGGCTTGTGTGCCTCTCCAGAGCAGCTCCCTTCCCTTGCATAGCACCGTATGAGCAGCAGCGCTGCCGTGTCTGCCGAGCCATTGCTAGTGAAGGCATTAGCCTAGAAATGTGGGCAGAGTCCTGCTGGATCAGACCAGAAGTCCAGCCAGCCCGTCACTCCATGCCCACGGGAGCAAACCAGCTGCTCGCAGGATCCCTCCTGCAGGATGGGTACAAGCCCTCCTCCTGCCCAAGCTCCCCAGCAACTGGTGTGGGCTGGGACGTTGCATCTGGTAAAGGAGGCAGCCCTTAGCCAGCAGGGCTAGTAGCCACGGATGGCCCCTCCCCCAGGAATCTGTCCAATCCCTTTTTAAAGCCACCCAGATTGGCGGCCATCGCCACTTCCCGTGCCAGGGAATTCCCTCATTTACGTATGCGCTGCATGAAGAAGCCCGCCCCTTTATCTGTCCTGACCCTCCCATCGGTCAGCTTCATGGGATGTTCGGGGCTCCAGTGTGGGAAGCTCCAGGCTGTGCTGGGAGTGTCCCCTCCTGCGCCGAGTGGTCTCTTCTGAAGACGGGAATGCAGGCGCTGGGCATGTGGTGCTGCTGGCCAAGGGCCACCTGCCTGCGGGACTCCGTGTGCGGCTCGCAGGCAGCTTCCCTCGGCACCCTGGGACCTGTTTGCCCCGAGGTGTCCATTGCTGGTCAATCCGCAGCTGAGGGCAGCAATAATTTGCAGTGGGAGTCGCTGTCTGAGTGAGGTGGCGGTTCTGTGTTTTCTTGAACCGTCTGGGCCACGGCACACCCAGGCGCTTGCGTGTGCCGAACCCGCGAGCGAAAGTTGCCTTCCCTCCCGAGGAAGGAGATGCCCTCCCCCAGCGGTGCCCCAGCTGTGGATGCGGGGTGCCATTGACTTGGGGCGCTGGCCGCCGACCACAGGGCTCTCCGGCCAAGTTTCAGCCCCAGCAGCGGCTTTTCTTGGCTCTTCCTTTGTTGCAGCCTCTTCAGCCTTGGTCTTTGGCACTTCCCCTCATGTGTTTTTGTACATCCCTTCCATGAAAGCCACCTGGGCATTTCAGTTGAAACAGATGTGCTGCAGATGTGTCTTTAAGGGGCGCATAAATCCGTGCCACCAACTGACACGCCCAGCGTGCACAGCGCTCCCTCTGCACCGCCGGAGCGCTCTCTGGCTCCGCTGCCCGTGCTGGAGAGGTGTGAGATGACCCTGTCACGTTGGACTGGCCGAGGTTGGTGCCTTCACTTCCTCCTTTCCCTCCCACCTCGTCTCCACGGCATGCCGGCTCTCTGATTATTTTGCTTTGCTTTTGTTTTATGTTTAATTTCTTCATCTCTTTCCTCCCACTTACATTTTACCCTTCCCCATTTTCTCCATGACAGGAAAAAGCCCGATGCCCTCAGGTACCAGCCAGCCTCTGGCGTTCTTTCTCTTCCTCCCCTTGTTTTTGACCAAGCATGTGCACTCCGAATCTAACTCTGACGTTCTGCTCTGAAACTTGCAGTGGATCTCTGTGCCAGCCTTCCAGCTGCTCAGCGCCACCCCCTTCATGGCTCGGTGCATAGCTGGATTTAGGTTCCTGGGAAAATGCCTCCCCCCCCCCCCGTGCATGCATCTCCATTTCTCTGCAGCACTGAGAACGTTGGCATTCTGCCACTTGGTGCACGGATGGATGGACTGCCACAGGTCCCCTGCTGATGTGCAGGGAGGCCCAGCTTATACCAGGCTTCTTCGGTGCGAGCAAAACTGTCGGACCCCCTTTGGGCAAAGCTGGTGGGCAAAGCTGGTGTCATCCATGGCCACTGCATTCTTTCATAAATTCCTGAAAATGGCCCAAAGTTGTGTCCCGCTGGCCTGAAGCCAACCTGGCTTCCAAGTCCCTAACTGGCCACGCAGGAGTCGCGAATGGCGCACGAGTGCTAGACAGACAGTCGGTGTTTCCCCCATTTTGGACTCCTTGGGAGGCGGCACAGCGTAAGTCCTGCCTCGGGTCTGGAAGATGGAGGAGGAGGTTTCCTGCGGGGTTCTGGTTATCCATTAAGGGCTCGGTGCCTGCTTCTCCTTCTCAAAAGAAAATGCAGCATACAGCCAGGTCAGCTCCTGTGACTTCCCTTGGGTGGAGTCTGTTCAAGGTGCAAGAACAGAAGGAGCCCGGAGAGGCTTTTCAGTGGGTGGAACCGGCCCTTGCCACTTCCCGGATTGTGAGTGGCACAGCGGAAAGCGTGGGCTGGTGGTTCCTCGTGTGCGGGGCTTGCTGGCCAGCCAGTCTGTTCTGTGGTCGCTCTGAACTCTGCAGGAGAGGCAGCAAGCGTGGCTGTGGGGCACCAGGAGCTGCTTCATAGTGCAGCGAAACGCAGGGCTGGTCGCAGGAACCGGCTCGGGCTCTCCGGACGGGAGCAAGGCCAGCCGGCCGGCCGGCTGCCCCCCAGCTACTGACATAGCTCAGCTGGGGCAGGCGTGGGATGCGGGAACGGGGCTGACTTCCACTGCCACGCCTCGCAGAATGCCCGGGCCCCTCATCCCACCATGCACCTTCCAAGATGGAGGGCTCTGCGCTTTTAGGCAGCTGCTCCTCTTCTTGGTCTCTGTCCAGCACACGCACGGGCTCTGCGCCCGTGTGAGCCTGCTCTGGGAAGGTTCCGTCGCTCGCACGTGTTCAGTGGGGAGCCCTCCCTCAGCCCCCCATGGCTGCAGGGAGGGGCTCCCTGCTGCTCAGCTGGCCTGCGACCGCCATCCCTCGGGGTGCCTCAGAGAGCTCCCTTGCCGCTCCTCGTAGCCATTCCCCCTCTTTCTCGCACATTCATTCTGTCCTTCAGGTTTATTCACTAAACTTTCTGCATTTCCCACCTAGTCTGATTTCTCTCCCTTAAAAAAAAGAAAGACTCTGCAAAAATACAGGGGCCCTGCTTCCCCTCTCTCATCATTCTCCCAAATTCTGGCTTTTGGCGTCTTCCTGTTTTTCCCATCTCTTGCGTATTTTTTGTCTCCCCATCTTCATTCATTCATTCATTCATTCATTCATTCATTCATGGATTTAGAGGCTGCCTATAATTGCCGAGGCCTTCCTGGGCAGCGTACAATATATAACACATGCTAACAAAGTAAAACGCATTAAAACCAATTAAAACTTGATGAATTAAAACATCTATAACAGCAGTGAAGGGCTACAGCGTTCAGGAGGGGACACAGCATAAATGTTGTGTTCAAAGCTCTCTCTGGCGACCGTGCGCAGTGGGGAGTCGGCTGCCCCCAAAGGCAGTCCCTGGCCTTGCTCGGGGGAGAGCCTCGTGGGGGAAGCCTGCATCCACAGCCAGGCCCTCCCTCAGCAGGCGGGGAAGTGCCGGGCTGGCCTTCGGAGTAGCGCCCTCCGCGGCCTGCCACCCTCAGCACTGCCTTGGCGGCCCTGGCGTGGCTGCTCGCCTCACCCGCCTTTGCTGTGGCTGCAGGACCCCCCCCCCCACCGGCCACTTCAGGAAGGTCACTTAGGCAAGGGTGGTGGCCAGGAAGGCGAGGGCCTGGGAACGGCGGACTCCAGCGAGGCTGACGGCACAAAAAGGGCATCGCGCTTCGGCCCGTTGGCAGTGTCCCCGGGTCCCCATCAGAACTGCGGCCTGCCCTTGGCCGAGCCCACTGGCCTCTGCGAAACGCTACCGCCTCAGCCTCCAGGCCGGAGCAGGCTGCGCCCTCGGCAGGCGGGCCCACCACCGGTCCTCTGCCGTGATGCCAGCCGCCTCCGTGCCGGGAGCGCCAGTCGCCAGTGTGTGTGATGCCAGAGACCACAGAGAAGGACCGGCGCCTTTCCTGCAACCGGTTCCTTAAGTGACCGTCTGTGCATTCAGCCGGACGCACCTTGCTTTCCCTCTTCAGGGAGGTCCTTGGACAGCACTCCTGTCTATACCGAGACCGAGGGGGGCCTGTGGGACCACCCCTCTTCCGATATGGGGCCACGATATGGGTCACATGTACCTCAAAGTGCTGATGGGTGGGGTGCAGATCAGGGGAGCTCTGGATGCGAGTGATCACTCCATCCTTTGCTTTGAGATCAGGGGACTGCGGACGGGCAGCAGGTTGAGTACTAGAAGCTGGGAGTTCACGAGGGCCGACTTCGGCCATTGAAGGCCAGGCTGGGGAAAGTCTCCTGGGAGAGGATATTCAAAGGGAAGGGAGTTCAGGAGGGGTGGATAGCACTCAAGGGAGGTTTTGGAGGCGCAAGTCTTGACGATACCTCTAGTCAGTAAGGTGGGGAGGCGGAGGAGAGCGCTGCCATGGATGCAAAAGGAGCTGGTTAGAGGGATTAGACGCAAGAGGAACCTCCGTAGGAAATGGGCACTGGGGCAGGTAGACAAAAGGGTATACCGGGAGGAGGAGGAGGAGGCCCGTTGCAGGAAGATTCTTCGCAAGGCTAAAGCTAATTAAGAGCTGAGACTCGCAAAGAATATCAAGAGCAACAAAAAGGGCTTCCATCAACATGTAAAGAGCAAGAGGAAAGGAAAAGAGGTGGTGGAACTGCTTAATAAGGAGGAAGGGGATCTGGTGACTGAAGTGAGGGAACAGGCACAGATGCTAAATGACAGTTTTGCCTCTGTGTTCTCTCCAAAGCAGTCTGCAGGGAGATCTACATGGGAGACCGGATGAGGCTGGGGATTAAGGACCACAGATTAGAGTTGCCCCCCTGAAGTTGAGGAGCTCCTCAGGGCACTGGCATTACAAAGGCGCCAGGCCCTGGCGGGTTACACCCGAGAGTACTTCAGGAGTTGGGGATGGGTTCTCTTGTGCCCATCGGCCTCCATTTTTGAGGCCTTGTTGAAAATGGTGAGGTTCCAGAGGACTGGAAAGTGGCATCATTGGTCCCAATTTTCAAACATGGTAGTAGAAGGGACTTGGGGAATTACAGACCTGTTAGCCTTACATCCATTGTAGGAAAAACAATGGAAAGGCTCATAATAGAGATCTAGTGATGCTAGATAGGGAAGGGAGGCTGACAGCCACACAACACGGCTTCCTCAAAAACAGGTCCTGCCAGACAAACCTTGTGGAATTCTATGGCAAGGTTTCGCGATGGCTAGATGGAGGGGATGCAGTGATGTGGTTTACCTGGATTTCAGCAAGGCCTTTGACAAAGTGCCCCATGATATCCTGGTGGAGAAGCTGAGGAGTTTTGGGATACACCAAAGCACTGTCCGGTGGATTGGGGCATGACTGACAGACCGAGAGCAGAGGGTCACCATTAGTATTCCCCACTAATCCTTGGAGGCAGCCTCTTAGCAGGAGGCCTCCCAGGTGGGTGGCTGTTCTTACCTTTCTTGGCGCGTCCTTTGCGCAGAACCCCCTTCAGGCAGCAGCTGTGAGGGACGTGCTCCACATCTAGGGGTGTTGCAGGTGGCAGAACGTGGCCCCTTCGCTCCCCTTCCCTGCCTCCAGATCGTCCCCCCGAGCCGCCTCCTGCCTTGGCGTAAGGCTGACAAGATTAGGCAGAGCAAAGCCGGGATCCAGGAGTCTGTTGGATTGACTTGCGTGCAAGGAATGGACTTTTAGCCACAGATCCCTGAGCCCTGGAGCAGATCCCGGTGCGTTTGGGTTGGGGAGAGAGTCTCTCTTTTGGACACAAGCGAAAAGAGACTCGGAGTGCATGGCTATCCAGGGGCAAAGGGCATAATACCCCCTGCTTAAGAGTGACTGGGTGTGGGGGCGGGGGGGGTGTGGGGCAGGGGGTTGCACAATGCTGCTCTCTAAGCTACGGCTCTTGCAGCAACCAAAGGACACCTTGGGGAGTTTTCATTACTGTTCCGTGCGTGGAACGCGCGCTATCGCAGCGGCACCAAGGCCTAATGGTCCCCGGGAAAAGCTCATGGGAGATGCAGGGTTGAAGGGCCCCGCGAACTGCTCTCCCTTCGGCACGCCGCCTCGGCCGCTCCTGGCCCTTCCCACCCGAAGGAGCCCTGCTGGGTCGCTCCTGCTTTCTGAGCACAAGCGAGAATTGGGGAGCCCACCTCCTGCCTTCCTTCCATCCGGTCCAGCACGGAAGCAGGACTGGGCAGCGGCGGCTGCTCCAAGCTTCCTGGAGCCCCACTTTGGTGTGTCCCCCCCCCCCCCCCGTCGTCTTGCAAGGTGAACAGCAGTGGGGAGGGGGGGATTTCCTCGCTGCCACTGATGAGTGCTCCTCTTGGACTTTGCCCAGCGCTTCTGTGGTCTTCTGTTGTTTTGCACTTCCGACAACCCTGCGAAGTAGACTCAGTTAAGTTCCCAGTGTTTCAGAGGAGGGCTGTGTCTTGCCAAATCCCCGACTCTTGAGCCCAAATCTGCCAGGCCTGGACACAGCTCTCCTCGTGGGGAGCCAGTGGGCCTGGCGGCTTTCACGGGGCGATGAATCCGTGAAGGCTGGCACCCCCCTTGCTAGCGCAACCTCATCGCCCCCTCCAGTCCCGTTTCTCACTGCCCAGTCGGTGCATTGATGATCTTTTCTTCCATCGTGTAGGCGCTGGTTCTCCATACAGAATAACCAACTGGTCTACCAGAAAAAGTTTAAAGTGAGTCTGAAAAAGCATTAATTGTGGTAAAGGGGGTGAGGATGGGACCGGCGAGGGCTTTCACGTGGGGGGGGGGGGGCG